GAGGACTAAGGGTTAGTACATGACATACAGAATTCAAATGCGTTATTTTGGTGCTGTTTGTCAGAGGTGTAAAAACAAAGGGCAGCTGTTGAGGGGCATTGCTGAGACTTCAGGAAGGTGGGACTCCGGTCTAACAGCCTGCGGGAGACTCAGGCTGCCACAATGCCTGACCTTGCTCAGCTCCAGTGAGGGGAATTCAGCCTCCCCTACCTCTGGTTTTTAACAATCGATAGCAATTCAGCCGTGGTGGGGTTGAGAAAGATTCTATTTCAAGACATCAGAGATTGAATTTTGTTCAGACAGTTAGGCAGCAGGGAGACTTTTGTGACAGAATCTGGTGTAAAGGGTATTGCAAGTGTAGTGATGGAAGTCCAGATAGAGTAATGTCTGAGAATATCCAAATGTGCTACTGCACGTTGTCAACTCCGAAAATCAGGTCCAAAATAGGACTGGAGGCTTTTCCGTGTTCCAATGTTGGTGTGAAAGATTAGGAACCTGGAAAGTACTTAATGTTTCAAATCCTTAATTTTGGATTTTTTTTTCCCCCCATATGTTCCTTTAGTTCTTGTTCTATTACTATTTAAAAAAAAAAAAAAAAAAATCTTCTGTTCCTTAACCCTTCCCCAGTCCTCTGCCCCGAGTGTTTATAGTGCTTATGATATTACTAAAATCTTCTAGGGGAATTTCTAAGCATTAACTCAAGATGTTCATTTACCTTGTTAAAGGACATAATTTGATATTTCAAATGGAATTACTTATAGTATTTTGGCATACTTAAAATTTTGACTTGATGTGTTAATGCAAAAGCCTGCTGGTTAATGCAAAATTTATGACAAAGAATAAAAAAGTGAGGCTTTGCTCTTACTGATTTGTAAGTAAGTGATCTGAAAATTGCCTGGCTGGTTGCTGTTTGGATTTGTAAGTTGCCATTGCAGCTAATGGGCGTATCTGAGGTCATCTAAGTAACCCTGTGGTTTTTTCAAAGGTAGCAGTGAACCAAGAAACACGCTGAGCTTGCTGGGGTTTGGAGGGTTGGAGTTTGTATGCCTATGGTTTAGGGTCTGACTAAGGCAGGGATGAGATACACAGTGCTTCTGTAGCTGCTGCTGTGCCCTGGAGTTTCTACATACCTTCCCCCACACCGTAGAAAACAGAAGAAACCCCACAACTTCCAGCAAGGTATGCAGCAAGCCAGCAGCTGGGAGAGCTTTCCTGCAGAGAGCCCTGTGGAGACAGTGGGAGAGGCAATCTTCTTTTTTTTTTTCTTCATTCATGGTTTGGTTTTTGTTGTTTTTTTTTTTTTTTTTTTTTTTTGGTTTTGTTTACCACATTTAATAGTGCTGAGAAATTTCATTGACACAGATTTTGCTCGTCTTTTAAGACAAGCTGATAATTTCACCAGTATGACTTTTGCAGAACATTATGCAATCTGTGTGCTGTTGTCCTCCCAGTCAAGATGAGTCTGTGCTGGTGCCAGACTGTTGGATTATACTTTTTCCATCCCTGCAGTACAGCTGTAATAAAATTGTAACTGAAGGTTTTTCTTTGTATTCTGTCACTGCCTGTGGTTAGCTCTAATTTCAGAAGATACCTCTTCTGGTCCCTGCTCATCTTCTTCCAGTCCTTGACCTTTGGATATCTTTTTCTTACTCTATCTTCATCTGCTTTTTTCCTTTGTTTCATTCTTGTCTCTGTCTCTTCCCAGTGCCATCTATCAGTTACGTGGGGATCTTTTGATTTAATCTTTGATTTAGTTGTTTGTGTGGCCAGCTTCCTTTGTCTGCCACTTTGATCATCCTTCACATGCATTAAACCAGGAGCCACACGTGGCAATCACGCAGATTGTGAAAGAGCCCGCAGTGAGGCTTGAGCTGTAAGCAGAGCTGCTGATGGCTTTGTTCAGCATTTCCCTGCCTACATCGGTGGATTCCCCTGCGCAGCCATCCGCAGTAGACTGAGCAACAAGTGGGTTGCAAAAGCAATGAGATTTTATAAATTTAATGCCTAGAAATGTATTTTTATGTTTCTCTTTCAGAAAAGCAGTTTTGCTGGGAAGAGTCACAAAGGTGGAATTTAAGTAAAATTATTCTGGACCTGGTGATGTAGAGGCACCCTGACAGACATGGTTGCCCAGCATGGTCAGGGTAGCCTCTTCCTAGCTTGAAGGTGGGGCCTTTCCAAACTTCAGGTGCAGAAACTAAACTTCAGCACTAGGCCTGCAGTTTTGGTAGCTTACTTTATGAAATGCTTTGTGCATTTGAGAAGTGAGCAATAGAGCTGAGTGTGGTTTCTATGGGGAAGGGCTGCTGCGTCTGACTTCCTAGCAAAGTCACTTAGAAAATCCAAAGGTGCAGTGGCCTTTCAGGTAAAGCAGATAATGGGGACTCCTGGGGTAGAGCAAACTTCAGGTTTAAGTGGAGTAGGAAGCTGTTGTGGGTATCAGTTGCTTCAGACACGAGCAGGTGTGGCCAGACTGTGCATAGAGGCAGTCTCAGAGCACTTCTGCCTGCACTAGCCACTATCTTTCCTCTCTGGTGCCAGAGCAGAAGGGAAAGGGCAGCAACACATTTCTGATGCATTGAGTCAGATTCTGCCGAGCGTGGTCCCACTGCCTTCATCCCGTGCTCTGCTTCCTCCCAGTCTAACCAGCCACGCCAACAGCCCTGTGCTAGAGAGCGAGCTGGTGCTGTTGGTGGCTGAGGGTAGCTAACACCCTGCCCAGATTGTGGTCCTGGGCATGGGAAAGTCCAAAATATTATTGTTCTCCTGTGACAAACTGTGCTAGCAGAAGCATGATGGGAACTGATACAACAAATTTCTCTTTTTTTGAAACTTATTTGTTAAATGCATCTTGTGAGGCATGCTGTGGCAGGAAGCAGTTGTGTGTCATTTGGATATTACCTGGGTAGTGGGATCCTGATTGTCTGTGGTAATTGCCTTCTTTCGTAACTCTCGCAAGGGGAATGGAGAATTCAGCTTCCCAGACAGTTCAGTGTGATCATACTGTTCTCTAAATAAGTATTTATTGGAGATGGTAGCACTCCCCCCTTCCTGTCGGAAATTATATCACTGTATATTCAACAAACACATAAATATAGCTATACACACATGAATATATGTATATGTTGGATGTATATTGATATCCATTCTGTTGCACAGACATCGTGTTTCAGTAAGAGGGTTGTTAATTCATTGATCAGTATATAATGTGAGTAGTAAAGAGCTGTGCAATTCTCATGAAAAATGTTACAAATGCAAGCTGTTATTGTTTACCGGAGCATTACAGCCAAAACAGAAACATACCTTTTGAGATTCCTCTTTGCCTGTAGGTCACAGCAGGAAGGTGAGGTGGAGTGGTGCAGAAAAATCAACAGCGATAAATAACAATTAGAGAAGGAAGCTTTTCAGAATGAGATTTGACAAAACCGGTTTGAGGGAAGAAATGAAGCAAACGTCTTGTGGCAGTTTCCTCTTGGCCCTGCTTTCACATGTGGTTGTAGGCTAGGTAGGGGAGTGAATGATGGTGAAGGTGAAAAGGGGATAAGGCAAGGAGGAAGGTGATGGAGAAGGAAGGAAAAATAGAGCCAAAAATTAAAGCTGGAGGAGAGCGATGAGAAAGAGGATGGACAGTAAAACTGGCAAATGACAGAAGTACGTGCACCTGGAGCAGCAGCGGTTGGAAATGGGGAAAGTGGGAAGCATGTAGCAGTGCAATTGAGATCATGAAGACAAAGATGAGTGAGGCTTTGTTGTCTTGTAGGACTGACTTGCACCTTAAGGAAAGAAGAAATTAAGCAGGAGGGGGAGAGATCATAGACTGTGCTTGCAAAAATTCATGCAGAAACCCCAGTGGGAGAGGAGGAACAGCTGTGAGCAATGGAAGGGGCCGTCCTTGAGGGAGCCCGCATGGGTACGAGGGCGCCTGCGTACAAGGAGAAATAGGGCTGGGAGTAGCAAAAGAGCCAGGGATTCCGAGAACATGGTTCAAAACTGCCAGGATGCAGCAAGGGCTGGTGCCTCCCTGGGGCTGGGGGCTGCAGGGATACCCCACGGGGCTGCCAGCCAGGAGCGGGCAGCTGGGGGCACTGGGGCAGCCCAAGCACTGGGCATGTCCCTGGGGACAGGGCTGAGGCTGGGACGAGAGGTCTACCCATGCGTGGGTGGGGGTCAGGATCAGACACAGCCTTGGGATGTCAGGGCAGGGCTGTGGTGATGTGCATCGCTACAGACAGTTATCAGAGTAAAATGGGGAAGGCAAGGTGTATCATTTATGGTAAAGATTTTACTGCGTACATGAAGTCAATGAAGTGTCATAAACATCAGTAGGTTTTGTTATGCTGTTCTATTTGTTGATGTATGCTGCTGTCTTCAAATATTGTTTAAAATGGGTAAGAATGTGTAAAATATTAGAAATGTGAGATAAAAACAGTGGTAAGATTTATAGCTTCAGGAGCTGTATACTGATCTCACTCACCTTACTTATCAAAAGCTGTGTCATACCATTGCATATGATGCATAATGGTTTAGCAGTATAGAATGAGAAAACAGTTTTCTGCCTAGTGTTTTCTTTTTAGTAAATAATAATATTTCACAATTATAATAGAAAGTGCTGCATGTCATCTGTAAACGAGGAGATTGTTTGAGCTTTACTATTAAATGTTAGTCTTATTCTCTAATCATTGCATTAATACATCTCCCCAAATGCTCTTGCTTTATCAAATTTCCCTAAATGTGGTGCTTGGAAGCTGGTCATGCATATATGTGCAGCTTGAAATTGAGTATATTCCTTCGGGCATCATTTTACTCAGAAATGTTTTAACATCATTAATAATGTATAAGTGTAACAGGTTTACATTAAAAGCAAGCCATAGACTAGGTTGCTTCTAATCTGCGCAATAGTTCCTACATGGCAATTAGTATCACAATAAGTGTGTAAAAGAGGGGGGGGAGAATATACGTGTACTGAATTTTTGGAGCTAGATAACCTTTTGATTGACGACATGACCCGGTTCAATTCAAATTGCTTACTCTGGAATGGTATTAAAAATTGGTTTTCTGTACTAAAGCTCATACTGCTGAAGGGGGTAGAAGGTGGTAATGGATATTAAATAGTGGAAAACTGTAAGAAAAATTTCTTACTTTAGCCAGGGCCATTTTAGGTAATTGTGATGAGCAGGCATTGCAGTTGTGACTGTCTCTCTCTGGGTCACTTTGGGCAACTTCTAATGTGTATGAGCAAACCTTGTGAGTGTGACATGTGCAAAGTAGAAGAGTACAAAGTGATTGTTTATCGGTTAGCAAGCATAAAAGACAGGTAGGATTTCATGAGTTCCTAGGCTAGGCATCGGTGTGCGTCCTGTCCCTGGCAGGACAGCTGAAGAGCCTTTGCTGGCCAGGCAGTTGTGAATGAGGTGGAGGGGGACCACCCTTCTCTGCTCCCTGAAACGGGTCTTCACTGCTGCCTGCCACCTGCTAGCTTTGCTGCTTCAGCATGTGGTGCCTCTCCAGGCTGGTGTTTTCCACCTCAGTCCTTCAGCTGGTAGCAACTCCAGTGTCACCAGTCTTACCTTTTTTTGGGGTTTTACCTTTCTGATATTGCACAGTTGCACTCTGTTCTTTCTCCAAGGCCTTTCTCATAGCTTGACAATTTCCTTAGAAGTAAGCCAGAGGCACGGTGACACTGCTGTGCCATGTCACAGCTAGACCTTGGGCCACGGCAGGCTGAACCCACGAGGGAGGTCACACAGCAGGAACGTTAAACACTGAGGTCACATCATCAGGCATCAAATGAAAAACTTAAATGAAATTAATTATTCGTGAAATTGTAAGTGCCACTGTTGATGATTTGGGAGTCTTATACAGCTTTAATGCTTTTTAAATAATTTGCAAAAATTATTTTAATGCTGAACATTTGCTTTGTGGCAGCGCTTCTGTTACAGCTCTTTCAGATGTTAATAATGTGTTGTGAGAAATGCAGTCTGAACAGGCAGCAACCACCACTCCTTGCCTTAAATACTCAGCTCACATCTCCTGCAAATCTTTCAGAAGATCTGCCAGATACACAGCCTGCAATTTTCCTTTCTTCCGTTCTAGGCAATGGGCCCCATCACGATCGAAGTTGTGTTTACAACCAGAGCAACATAGTAGATGGAGTTTACTGCCTCCCCATAGCACACTGGATTGAAGTCTCTGGACATACTGATGAGATGAAACATACAACTGACTTCTATTTTAATATTGCAGGACATCAAGCTATCCATTACTCCAGGTAAAAGTGCAGGGTTTGGCTGGTGTCAAGTATTCAAATAGAAAATCTGTACCAGTATAATGTCAGCAAACTTTGAATTTGAAGTGGCGAGTGGTAGTATGTATGTTAACGGTAAAGTTTAACAAAGATTCAATACCTCTTTGCAATTAAATGTCACTTTTGTCAATAAAAAGGAGAGATTCTGAGTTCAAGGGTACCTGCAGCCTGTACGGGTGTGTTAAGTTGCACCCCATCTGCAAATGGCTAGCAGTAATTTCTGGCTAAATTTATGAGGAACTGTAATTTTCAAATGCTCGTCCACATACACATGTAAATACGCATGTATGTAATGTGTTTGGTTTGGGGTTATCTTGCTGAAGAACATCTCCTGGGAAACAAAAAGAATATATTCCAGCACTAGAACTTTAGGGCATCACGTTATCACTCATGTACGACAGCAACTGCAGTTAGTGACAGGGTTATAGATTACTTCTACTTTTGTACATTCATTTAAAAAAATACTAAAACTTATACAAGTCTTAAAATGTTTTTACGTCCGTGGTGCTCACTTGAGTCCACTGCCTCACCAGTGAAGCATCCTGGCCTGAATTAGGAGAGAATAGAGCTTAAAGAGGGCACCCACCGGTTAGGGCTGCAGATGGAGCCCGGGCTGTTTGGAGCAGCAGCTTTAGCACTGGTGGCTAACAAAGTGGCACTGAGGGATTTGGGACCATTTGTAACTTTTTCCCCATCCCCAGTCGTGGATGTGGCAGCAGGTTTATTGATTGATAACGGGTGCCGGAATGCTGGCAGCCCTGATACACCACGTAGCTGGTGTTGATTACAGAGCAGTTAGTGATCCCAAAGGGACATGTATTTTTTTTAAGAAAGCAAACCAGCTCATGCTTTAATTAGGTCTCAGCATTGCTTTCTGTGAATTTCTCCAGATTACCATTTCAGCTACTCCAGTCTAACCATCTTGTCTCCTCTTTCTACTCTTTCATCTCCACCCTCCCACAGGGTAGGAAGCAGAATTGTCTTTTTCTTGTCACAGTTGCAGTGTATGAGGGAAACATTTCCTTCTCGTGGTATCTTTTGAAAGAATACGGATTCATAAACACTGTTAGGTATATGTAGGTATTTGTGTGGCTTTTCCCTGAGACCCCCTCAAGCTGTATAATGCACCTGACAGACTATACTGCTATCTGTATCTTAAGCATCCCTTTCCAACACCCTATCAGAGAAAAGATCTTGTTTATACCAAAGCACGGATTTGTCAATCCCAAATAATCTTTGCTTGGCAGAGGAAGTTTATGAGAAAGAACAGCTGTCAGAAAGCGAATATCTAAGCACCAAAAGCTAACTTATCTTTCTTTCCAGAGGCAGCAGTGATCCATTTAATACTGCCTTATCTGTGTGACTACATGTTTCTAAGACTAGGTAAAAAGCACAGATTCCACTAAAGAATATTTGGAGAAAATTTTCTGAGTTGTGTAGTCTTTTCCAGATGAAGATCTTCTCCTCCCTTCCCCTGTCTCACACACACACACACCCCTTCATTGCAAGGCAACCTTAAATGTACATCTTCACTGAGTAATTCTTATCTCATGTCTTTGGGCTATATTAAGTGGGCATACCCCATAATAGTCCTGTTGCATAATTATTTTCAATACTTTGAAGATAGGCAGCCTTAAATGACTTTTTAATTATTAACAGTTGGGGACAGATTCACCATTCTGCTGGTTATTACAAAGCAGCCCAAAAATACTGTTTAATTAAGGTTTTTATTTTTGGCAGAGCAGCTGAAGTGAGCTGATGAAAATGCGTTTATATTATAATGGATTATTGATTCAGAAGAGTAGTATGGAGATTAATATTGCCAAAAAGAAAAAAAAAAGAATTAGAAGGAGTTGCTCTCAGCTTTGCTACCACCTTGCTTCTTCATATAATGTGTGCTTAAAACTTTACCTGGGCTGCAGCAGGACAAGAAGAGCCTGCTTCCTGCTGTGTGAGAAATCGTTCTGAATCGTACTGAGGCTGACAGCAATGCTCTCAGGAATCAGATTTTTCTGTTCGGTATAGATGTATTCACTCATAAAGCAGTGAACTTATGTTTAAACTTGTATTTAGAGAACTCTGTGTTGGTCATTCAGGTTGGAGAGTAAATTATGTGCTTTTTAAGCATAGCAGGATTTGAATTATTTTTTTTTGAGTGTGAAATGGAGCTTGCCCGCAGCTACAGAGTCGTGACAGATACCTTCATGGTGTTAGTGTTCATTTGTTTTGGACATGTAATGACACATATCACCGAAATCTGATTCAGGAAAAAATAACAGTCTCTTTCCTGTTAGGTATTACTGCAATAAGATGCCTTCAAATTGCAGGAGAGTTCATTTAGGACACAGTAATTTTCCAAAGCAAATTAGAGTTATTGTAGTCTTTTCAGGGGGAAGATGACTTCAGAAAATTTGTAAGTCTGGGGTATGTTAGCTCTGTTTCAGTTCCATCTGTTAAAGGTGGAACTTCCTAATTTGTAGGTGTTACGTACCGTATTGTTTATATAAAACCCTCTGCAATTCTCAGAAGAAAGGCAGTGCATAAGAGCAAGAGAGGGAGTGACACATTAAATTACAAAATCCTTAAATAGTATGTTGGAGACAATAATGCTTTATGGCAGAACTAGGTGCTATGGGAATGAATATCACCGAGAGGAATATCACTGAGAGGAAAAGCCATCTAGTTGCAGTTTTCTATTTTCAGACTAATTTTAGGTTCCCGAATCCATCCCGATAATTAGTAAGTTCCCATAGTTTTTGCCCACTCATTTGCATATGGTATATGACTGCCACCTCTTCATTTTAGGACATATACTTTGATGCCATGTGTGGTGTCTAATTTTTAATAATATGTGTTTCAAATTTACTCTCTTAATAACTATCATTTTATTCCTTGTGTGTGCTTTCTGTGGGTCATACCTCCTAAATCTGATGAAGAAAAATATTTTTTACATGCTTTGCATGTAAACTGCAACTAAACTGGATTCTGTAAGTGAATTTCTCAGACAACAGTGATACCTAATCTCTAACTGAAGTATTCCTACGGCTGCTAAGCATTTCAAAGAAAAACACACCGTCAGCTTTAAATGTAAAATTATGTAATGAGGGAGCAGCACTGAGTCCTGACAACAATTTTTTGAGGTACAGTTTTTATAGTAGCTTTTTTGCACTTAAATATTAAGGCAAATAAATAGTAATACTTAATGTTTATGGAGTGAGTGGGCTGTTCCTGTAACTGGATATAATCCAAGAAATTGTGGAGTTGATGAATGTGTTGCTGTCATCGGTGTTTATGTCCCTAATTTTTTCTGTAAGACAAAATAAAGCAACAGATAATAGAAAAAAGAACCCTTGTGCTGGAGATACTATTTTTGTTCATTTGTTTCTTGATGGTAGAAGATTAAACTTAATTTATGATGTAGTCTTTACAAATGCTTTGTAGCTTGTTGGTAAGATGGTTTCCTTTGGCGCTGCCATAGTAATGTAGGTTATAAATGAAGTCAAGTGTTAAGCGGGGATGTTCGGTAGAGTCACATGAAATGTGTGCTCCTGGTTGGTACAAAGATGTTAACATAGATAGGTGAGTTTATGAGGAATGATCCAGGGCAAAATCCAGATGCTTCTTGTTTACCTTCTGGAGGCACTAAAGCAGTATTCTGCCGATGAACACCGAGTTTCCTTTTGTCCACAGTAATTTTCCTGTGAAGAAAATAAGCATTTACGTGATTGACATGCGTCTTTAATTGGGGTGGAAGACAAGAAGCTGGTTGAGTGTTTTTTTGCATGAGCATCACTGGAGGAGGGAAATAATGAAACTTCTGTTAACTTATTTGGGTCATACGAGGCGCAGTTATTGCTATTTCAGTGTTAGAACACTGCTGGGGTTGATGAATATAAAGATATACTTAAAGACATCTGTGGCAGGACGCAGCTTGAGATTAAGATGACTAAATTTGTGTGTCTATATACAGCAATTCAACTCACTGGTGACTAGATGCCTACTTTAGAGTGAATTGAAGAATTGAATCGGTTTCCAAACTCCACTGACGATGCTGATGAGATCTCTATTGATTTGAAATGGGACATTATTCTGTCTGATTGCTTGAATGTTGATGTCTAGTGAGCATTTGAGATGCTCTAGAGTTTACTGCCTGGCCTCCAGCTGCTGCACTTCAGGAACAGGGTTTCTTATAGCTCGTTGGACATATCTGTGAGCCCTATCCAGATGCTCCAGATGCTATAGGATGTTTCAGATGTTGGTGGGAAGCTGTCCTTAGGCAATGCATTGAGCATTGCTGTGCCTGAAGACACCTGTTGGTAGATAACCAGGGCTAGGTGTCCTCATCTTGATCTTGTATCCCATCCCTAGCTTGTATTAATGAATAGTATCCATAAGTCAGAATTACCTTTGAATTATGTGAGCGGAAAAAATACAAGAGAACGCGCTTCATTTTTACTCTTTGACTTCTCTTCTGACTTACTGCTTTTAATTAATTCACAAAATAAAATACCCTTCTGTTTTAAGTCTAATCCTGAAGCAATTTTTTTATTACTGAATTATAAAAAAAGGTTTAAAGAGGAAGCTGTCCCAAAAGCCTCCCATAGTGCAGTGAACTATGCTGCTGTAGTAGAAAGCTGAACTGATACTTTATGCGTGTGTTATGAATTAAGAGAAGAGGTGATGATGTCTATAGAGATTACCATAATTAACATTAAAAGCTGAGAGCTAGCTGTCCCGTGTGCGGAAAGAATACTTGTGGTATTAGAGAAAAGAAGAAGAAATAATGAGCTCTGGAACAAAAGTCTTTGATTGTATTCTAGTAAAATAATCCTGATTAAAAATACTTAACATCAATAGGAGTTTGACCTTTGATTTCGGTACTTGGGTCTCTAACTGCAAAGTTGTCTGGCCATTTATGCATTAAATAATGAAAATATTCTAAGCCTAGTATTCCTCTCATGTTC